TGCTGTGATCCCAGCCCCGCTGCTCCACAGCTCTGCCAGGGGACACATCCTGCGCTCAAAGATCTCACGACGGGGAATTCTGTCAAGAGATTTTCACAAAGATGACAGATTTGTAAGTGGCCTGGTTTTGTTCAATGCTGCATGTTGTGTCAGCACAATACGCAAAATATTTTCTTCACGCTTCATCAGTTAACCCCAAAACGATCAAAGCAATCCTGGCAGCTGCTGAGTATCACATCTAGAGCCTGGTTTTGGGGAGAGGGTGGCACAGCAGAGCCCACGGTGCCAAAAGCAGCACCAGGCATTTTATTTTTATTACTTTGGTGCCTCTAAACTCCAGTTTGGAGATCCCACCCCGCCAGAGCATGGAAGCAGAAGTGTGAAGCTCAAAGGTAGTGCTGACCAGGAAGAGGAAGGCTGGCACCTGGAGCACCAGGTTTGGGAACAAAGCAGGGCTGTGGCTCCACGGGATCCCAAATTTCACAGTCAGACTGGAGCTCCACCCCTGGAATGCTCACACTGTGCCAAGGAAACAGCAGCTCTGGGAATTCCTGGCAGCAGCTGCCAACGGTGCCATGAACCATGCCAGTGCAAGGTGCCCCTGCCCATGGCAGGGGTGGAATGAGAGGAGCTTTAGGTCCCTTCCCAACAACCCAAAGCAGCCTGGAAACTGTGCACCCACCCTGTGCTTCCTGTGGATGCTCACGATGTGGATGTCCTCGCTGCGGAACTCCTCGTCGTGCCTCTCCAGGGGAATCCTCTCCAGCTCAAAGTCCCTCTGCAGCAGCTGTTCCACAAACAACAGTTCCAGACATTTCCCACCATGCGGCACCTCACCCTCATTTAAACTGCTCCAGCACTAACTTGAAGCTACAGACACCTCCAATACTCCACAAAAATCTGATTATGCTTGTGGTAAAACACTCCTGGAGGGATTTAAGAGATGGGTGGATGTGACACTTGGGGACATGGCTTAGTGGTGGCCTTGGCAGTGCTTGGGGGATGGCTGAACTTGATCTCAGAGGGCTTTTCCAGCCTAAATGATTCTGTGAATCCATGATTTTGCTTCAATCCCTAAAATGCTAAGCCAAACCACAGCACCTGCCTGTCTGCCAACCCCCTCAGCTGAAAGGGAGAGGAGAGAAAAAACCAGTTTAAAATCCCCCAGCATCACTCTGGGCTGTGCTCAGATTGCCTGGGCTGAACCTGGCAAGGAAGGAAACAAATCACAAAAAAAAAAGATAAAATACAGAAATCAGCCAGAAACACCAAGATCTGTTGAGTTCATTATGGGAGCAGCACCTCAGAGCTGAGCACAGCTTTCCTCACTGCCAGGGCCCCACAAGTGTGAGGCACTAATTAGCAAACAGGTGCGTTGATTAACAAAAATTCCCTGGAATTCTCACCCTTTTTTTTATTATTATTATTATTATTATTATTATTATTATTATTATTTAATCCTGCACAAGAGCAGTCAGCACAGGTGCAGAGTTAAACCTGCACTGACCATCATCCCCCACAGGTGTTCCCTGTGCTGCTTTTCCTCACCTGCACACAAGACACAATATATTCAATTAAAAGCAATTAATATTCAATTAAATATATTCATATATTCAATTAAAGCAATTAATGGGCTCTCATTAGAGAGAAGGATTTTTATCAGAAGCACCTCTATCACTCAGGAGAGAGTTTTGAGTTCCTGAGCAAAACTTTGTATTTTCCCTCTGCTTTCAACGGAGCAGCCTAAAAGAAAATATGCTTAAAACTCACTTACTTCAAAGTATTTCCTCTCAATTTCAGGGTTCTTCCCCACAGTCCTCTGTTCGTAGCAGCACAGCACACAAGTGTCAGGGCCTGTCAGCTCCCTCAGGGTCTTCAGCAAGGGCTCCAAGGACTGCCCAAAAAGGTGAAACATTTCCCACGTGGATTTCAAGTTCATTTCACTGGTTGCAACACCCTCTAGCTAAAGTCTTCACCCAAGAGGAAACCTCCCAGTTTCACTTTTCTGCTGGTTATTTTTAGTGCTTGAACTGGGACAAGTAGAATATGGGGGAAAAGCTGGGAAGCACAGGAGGAAAGGGGACTCACAGGAGAAGAATTTCCCAGACTGACCAAGAAAAGTGAACTGGAATCCAAGCCAGAAACATCCCACAGTGCTGAGTGGGCACTTCCTGGAGGCACACAACAACGAGTACTCCTCAGTGTGCTCCAAAAGGGAGAGTTTTCTCAATTATTCCTGGAGGATGGCTCAGATCCAGACCACAGGGGAGGGAAATGGGAGCAACAGGCAGGGACTCAATGCCAGGGGCTGGTAAAGCCATTGGAAGGGCACTGGGACATGGGGTTTGTCAGGTTATTTCCCTTTTCCTGCAGCTTCCCTCAGCTCTCTGTGCACATCCTGCAAGCTCCAGCTGAGGACATGAGGCAGACTGCAACAACCCCTCAGCCGTGGCAGGATTTATCCTCCTGCCTTCCCAAGGAAAGCATGAGGAGAACCCAAACAGCACACTTAGCACTTATAAATTCCATTATTTCATTTACCAATGATTTCAACAGTTCACATTTTGCTTCATGATTCCCAGTGTTAAAAAAAAGGGGGGGGTGGCACAAACATTCAATTTGAGATTTTTAACATAAAAATAGTCTCTGGTTCTATGTCAAATGGTCTTACATCTATTAAAAATGCATTTTCCAATTCTGTTCTACCTATTCCTATAAACCACAGGGACCATGACATGAGTACAACATTTACCTGAACACTTCTCATACTAAACACACTGATCTCACCCCATTCCCAAGAAACCTTTCTGCAGGGGTTTAGCAAAGTCCTCAATTACCTCCTCATAGTAAATGCAATCAGCCATGAGTATATAATCAGGAGGAGGCTGAAATTCTGTTACATCTTCACCCCTAAAAAAACAAACAAGAAAAAAACCACAAAAAGTGAAAAGAAGTTTTAGTAACAACATATATTAAAGGACTGAGCACAAAGTTAACTATTGTGTTTTCACATTACGTTTCCCTCTCACAGCGGTATTTGAAGTTATTTAGCAATTGAATGAAGGCAGTGCAGAATGACAGAATCCCAGAATGAT